AGCTGTGCCCTCCCCGAGACCACCCCTCCCGATTGGAGAGTGCAAACTTGAGTTCTGAGGACACTGGTCTTTCTTTGTCAGGCACCTCCGGATTTCTGCTGTTCACATCCAGAATGGTTCTGATCACCAGTGGACCCCAGGAGCTTTTGGTGTCCTTCAGTCTGTGCAGGCGGGCCGGGCAATGCTGGGGCATGGACGGGACACTGAGGCCAGGACTCACAGTCAGGATGCTTGGCCTAGACCAAGCCAGCTCCTCTGGCTCATTTTCGAAACAGGAGTGACACCCAACTCAGCCACCTCATTGAGACAGGCAAGCGACTCCACAATTGGTGATATAGGATCTCCAGAAACATCTGTTGTCCATGGAGTTTAACCAGTGTTTTGTACCGATGAGAACTGTGGATTAGGATAAAGAATCCTATTCTGTGTTTAGTGTCTTAATTTTACTCTTGTGAATTAAAAAAAGAAAAAGCTCTCTATAAAAATAGTTCTGGTAAGGGAACTAGAAAAATATTTCGGGTTTTGAGACTGAATGGAAAAGCCAGAGAAGGCACTCAGGGAGCAGAGGGCCATGGGGGTATGGATGACTTCCACCAAGTCAGAAGTCTGGGTACAATGCCACCAGTCATGCGGTCCTGGGCTTCTCTGTACCTGTAAGCTTAACCTTCATGGCCTAAATGATGGGTGATGGTTAATGTCCCTCCCAGCTTTAGAAGTCTCTTGCACACAAGGGCCGGGGGAGCCCAAAGACTGGTTGAGGTTTAGGCTCAACTGAAGACATCACAACCCAGCTTTGCCAAGATTTGGCTTGGCTTCCTTGCCCAGAGCTTCCTGGGTTTTAACATCAACTGATCTCTCTCTGCATTTGGGCCCTGGGGCTTTTGTTTTTAAATTTTTTTTTTTTAACTTAGTTTTAAAATTTTTTGGCCACACTTCCTGGCATGTGGAGTCTTAGTTCCCTGATCAGGGATCGAATCTGTGCCCCCTGCAGTAGAAGCTTGAAGCCTTAACCACTCAGATGCCGGGAAAGTGCCCCCTGGGGTTTTTAAAGCAAGCATAATGTGGGCCATCCCTGGTGGTCCAGTAGGTTAGGGCTCTGAGCTTCTGCTGCAGGGGCACAGGTTTGATCTCTGGTCTGGGAACTAAGATCTGCACGCCATGCAGCACAGACCAAAAAAAAAGAAAAGAAACGAAACCGTAACGTGACTGTTCATACTCAAGAACGTGTTCGTGCACCAGCAACTTCACTACCCTTCACCCTGGGGACATCTCACAGGGCCGATTTTTCTTAGCAATAAAATCATTTTTACATCAAACATTATTTTTACATTTAACAAAGTTAACATTGGATTTTTGCAGAACTATTTGGAAGTAATGAGAATGTGTGGGAATGGATGTTTTTGGGGTTCTGTGGATTTTCTGATTGAATAAGGACCAGGCATGGTCCTTAGGGCCTGCTCAGAAAACACTGGCCACTGGGAGAGGCTGCGCGTGAGCTGAGCTTAGGACTCAGCTGGAAGTTACTTTAAAGATGAGAATCTAGGGGCTTCCCCAGTGGCTCAGTAGTAAACAATCCGTCTGCCAATGCAGGAGACATGGGTTCAATCCCTAACCCAGGAAGATCCCATGTGCCGCGGAGCAACTAGGCCTTTGCGTCACAACTACTGAGCCTGTGCTCCAGAGCCTGGGAGCCGCGAGACCATGTGCCACAACTACTGAAGGCCCGCGTGTCAGAGCCCGTGCTCATCAACAAGAGACGCCACAGAAATGAAAAGCCTGTACACTGCAACTGGAGTTTGCCAACTGTACACTGCCCCCTCTGGCTGCAACTAGAGAAAAGCTGCACGGCAATGAAGACCCAGCACAGCCATACATTACACACAACATGGGAGTCCAGATGCGCAGCTCATCTTACGTCACCTGTCCCCCGAGAGGCTGGCACAAAGAGCCGAGCTTCTGGAGGCAGGCTTATTAGTCTGACCCCAGTTCTCCATTTACTAGTTCTCGGAATTGGCCCAGTCTTAACTCCCACACCTATACAATGGAATCTAACCTCCATCTGAGGTTGTGAAAAGGATTAGAAATAAAGATGTCTGCATAGTGTCTTGTGCAGAGCAGCCATTTAATAACTGAAAGTTATTGGTTTCTTAAAGAGTAAATAAATTCAGAAGAAATTTGAGTTGAGACCCAGTTAATTTAAGTTATACCAACAATTTTATTGACAAGCGCGTTAAGTTTGGGGGATATTTCTAGCTCCCCTCCCCAAGTATTAAATAAGCTACCTCTTAACCTCTTTGTGGTTCAGTTTGCTCATCTGTAAAGTAGGGATAGTAACAGAACTTTTGCAAAGACTAATAAGTAACAATGTATAGGTAAATCTCTTAGAACAAGGCACATTGTAAGGGCTGTACAAGTGTTCACTATTTTAACTGCTACCATATAAACACTCTTAATTGCAGATAGGCCATGGTTCTCATAAGCTAGAGCTAGGAAGGTCTCTGCACAGGGCTAGGGCGCAGGCCTGTCCTTGCCTTACAAGGTGGCTCTGGGTAAGACCTGGGTTTTTGGGGATCCTGGCCCTGCTCTGCAGATGAATATTATCCTGGTACCTTTGCTTCCCCCTGTCCAACTCTTTGCAGAAATACACACTCCAGTACTCAACAAACATCCGCTTACAGTCAACTGGTTTTTCAGAAGGGAGAAACTCAAATTCAGAGAGGGGCCCAGCAGCAGCGGGAGCAGAACTCTCCAGCTATTTCAGAGTCCAGTGCTAACGCTGTTATCTCCTCACTCTGTGCACCTCCTTCCTCTGGGCTGTCTCCACTGTCCCGGGTGGATCTTCTCCAAGAAGTGCCAACTGGGAGCAAACAGCAGAGGCCAGATGGGATGCACTGATGGGCATCCTTGATGCTGGCATCTGAGCACGAGCTGTGCGGAGGCCACAGGCTGGCCTGGCCTGGCCTGATGCCCTGGGCGGCCCACAGCCCACTGAGATGGAGGTGCGAGGGGAAATGTGGGCTGGTCTTCCTCAGCCCACAAAGCCTCTGCTCCAAATAAGCTTCGACGTTCCCCCCGACACCAAAAGGACCTTATAGAGGAGAGAAGAGGAACAGCAGCAGATAGGAAGGAAGGTAAATGCAGGAGCAGGCCCTCTTCGATGTGAGAAGTGGCTGGAAATGAGCCTTGTCTTGGTCTGAGTGAGGCCCAGGGCTCTTCTTACAGGGCGAATGGTCCCTTCTCTTTCCTGCCCTTCTGGTTCTCCTTGGCTCACTCATCTCAGTTCAGATGGCTCCAGTGGTCACCAGCATCACCAACGGATCTTTTCAGATGTAGGATGTAAAGTGAAGAATTCCGAGCCCGGGGTCTTGGTTTTGGTAAGCACCAGATCCTTGTCTGGAGCCTAGATGATAAACTACTTATTGCAGAGGACCCTTGAGCAGATAAAATGAGATAACAGGACCCCTTCTGCCACATCATTCTGTTCGGATGGCACCTTATCACACTGGGCCGCCGCGGTCTGTTCACACAAAAACATCTTCTCGTCTCATCCTGTTTCTTGGGCAACTGCTATGCTTCATTCACCTGGCACGTGGCAAGCATTCACTAAAGTAAAAGGGATGCCTGGGGCCAGAGCTGGTCTACAGGTGGGTTTTGTTTTGCCGGCAGAGTATGTGAAAGACTTTTGATTTGTTGTTGAAATCAGGAAATTCATGCACAAATCTGGACTCCTCAGTTTCTCTGGAAAATTTAAGAGATAGGACTGCAGGACCCATGTTCCTCCTGCTTGGAGACAGACCACTAGCCCTCAGGAGAGGCCACTCCCTTTAGAGATGCTCTCCACTGTGCCTGTCTCCATCACTCCTTCCCCTCTCACAACGGAACGGCTTCCGCTTTACTCAGATTCCACCTGTCGGGGCCCTGTAGGCAGCTGAGTCAGCAGCTCCTGCTGGTGAGTTGGGCAGTAACGGAAGTGAAGTTCTCTATCAGCCCCACCAAAGAGGGTTTCAACACATGCTTGTTGAACAGGCAGCAATTGGGTCTTGCCAGGCAAACAGAATTACTGTGCCTATGGAGAGACACCATCCCCACAGAGGTACTCTAGACAACCAGCTGTTGCAGGGGTGCCCGATGGCAATGATATCTGCTTGCTGTGGCTGCCACCAATCCTTTCTCTGGCTCACCCTCTCTGGTGACAATAGATGATGATGTGCCACTTGGGCAAGAAGAAGGGAGAAGGGTGGCACTGGCTTTATCGGGCCACTCTCAGCAAGGAAAACATCTCTGGCCTCCCGAATTCAACTATTGTAATCATTATTACCAGGAAACAGACCCAAACACCCAACAAAAGGAAAGAAAGGGGTGGTGGAGGGGGCAAGGAGAGCATCATTTTGAGCTGAGGAAAGCAGCGGGCACAAGTGTGGGAGTGCAAAACCACTGGGAGGTTTAGGAAGGGCCCGAAGCTGGGGGTGTGGCAGGAGGTATGGGTAGAAGAATGACAGCTGCCACATGAAGGGGTGAGCGGTGAGGGAAGCCAAGGAGGGAGGCCTTGAGGGAACAAAGGCATGGGGCCCCCGCTTCAAGAAGGAAAGGCCACTGCAATACTGAACAACACTCGTGTGGGGAGGACACAGATGGACAAGTATCACCACCCACCCTGATTTTAATGTGGAATGCAATTAGCCCCTAAAAAAGGAACTCCAGAGAAGAGGTTTTCAAACTATCTTTAGGGTTTTTCAAACTAGACGCCCTCCGCCGTAACCCCTCTGGACAGCATCTTGTAAAACTGATTCAGCAGAGCTGCTCTGGTGACGGAAGACAGGCAGGAGCCACCCCCTTCCACACCGGCACCCCCCTTACAGGGCTCCACAATGCCCAGGAACACGGGTCAAAGATCACTGAGCTTGAGTAAAAGCACCTACTCCTTTTACAAAGCAGAACAAGCCACCCCAAAAGAGAGCTCCTAAGAGGCTAAGTGCTCCTACACAGACGAACACTTCCACTTCCTGTTGCCACATCGTTAACTATTTATTGAATGAGGCAGTAATAGACAGAATGGAAAACGACACAGAATCCATGCTCTGCTATTGGGGTTCTGCTTTTCTTCTTCTTCTTGGCAATTTCTCAAACTATCAGGAGGGTATTTCACCACAAAGGAACACGGACTTTAAAGCCCCTGGACAGTTTCACAACGATGATAAAAAATAATAATTAAAAAAAAATAACAAATTGTAGAACTAGGACTGTTTTATGTAAATTTCCCTTCCCTCCCCCCATTACGTACAGAAAAAAAAAAAGTACAAAGAACACTGGATAGTTTTATATAAAACAAGCAAATACAAGAATCTGAAACTCTCAAAGGCTGAGCAAGACGTGAAGAATCTTTTTAATGTCGCGTTAAAAAAAAAAACAACACATTAAATACACAGTCACACACGGGGGTGGGGGGGCCCGGGAGGAGGGAGGAAGGGTCATCCCCGTACTCAAGGAGCAGAGATTTGGCCTGTCAAAAAGTCAGGTGAGTTTAACCCCTGGAGACTCAGGGCTGGCTTGTGGCTGAGAAATCACAGAATTTCATTACAAAGAACACCCAAACCAATTAACAGCCATGAGAGGGAAGCTGTGGGGCCTGGGCCTAGCACGATGCACCTGGGACAGCTGCAAGGTCCCTTCCGAGATCGGGCCTGATCCAGGGGCGCAGGGGGCACCCTCAGCCCTCTTCTCTCCAGTGCCCCTCAGTCTAGTGGCCAGCCTTCCTCGCGCCAGGAGCCCCTGTCAGTTCTGTCTCCTCTGTTAAGCTACAGGAAGTCACAGGAAGGGAAAAAGTTGCTCCCTTTGGTGCACCCTGGTCTTTAAAAGATTTTTCTCTCCCTCCTTCCTTTCCCCTTCCAACTCCTCCCACCCCCTCATTCTCTCCACGATGCACACACCCACAAGCACACGCAACGCGCACGCATTCCTCAAACCCTTAATACTTCTGTCACCTTCAGTTCATATACATGACCAATTCAGGACTGACCTTAAAACCAAAGCGACGGGTTAACAGTCGTGAGATCAAGAAGGTTTCCTGGGGAGGGGAGGAGATAGGAAAGAAAGAAAACCCTCTCGACCCCACCTGGGAGCTTTAAAGACATTTCATTTGCCTGTGGCAAGGTCAGCATCTGGGCCAGCCCGAGGAGCGTCTCAGCTGCCAGACCACGCGGCCCCTGGGTCTTGCAAGCACAGTTTCTGGACTTCACCCCAATCTGGAACCTCCGTTCTCAGGTGAGCCCAGCAGGGAGAGTTCTGGGTGGCCACTGGGAGGCAGCTTTGGTGAAGGGCATGGTCACCTCCGCCTGAGTTTGTCAGTAGCTCAACGCATGACCCTGGTATGAACAAAACCAGGTGGCTGTCTGGCCACGTACCCTACACCCACTAAACTGGGTGAATTATTTTTCCACAGCTCACCTTGATTTCATACAGATAATTCCATGCGGGTTTCTTTTATATATATATATATATATCTACACATATATATATATACTCTATATATATATGTAAATGTGTATATCCATATGTACACATATACATATATTCACATTCACACATACACACACCGAAGTATACACACGTTTCCGCAGAAAGAAGTCCTGCCACAATTTGGCTTTTGCGGGGCCGTGAAATTGACAACGCAGTATCTTATTCCACCAATCCCAGAAAATCAAGAGTGGTGCTTTTTAAAAAATGCAATTCCAAAATCCACTGCCTTTCTTCCTTTTTAAAAAAAAGGTTAACAAAACTTTTCTTCCAAAGTCGAGAGACTTAATTCCATTTGATTGCACCTCTGCAAACGTGTAAAAAATTTTGAAGTAGACTAGAAAATGATGCCATGGTATGGCTGCGTGTCACTGTTCCAACGTCACCACCTCCACAGCCTGGCCGTCCATGGTGACTGCGCTGTCCGATATCCTGGTGGTCACAGGGGCCATGGCCACCTGCACCGGCCCGTTACCCTGGGCGAGGCTGGTTACCACAGTCTGGTACATGCTCACAGGTATCTGGACCAGTCCTGGGGAGACAAGGGGAAACCGTCAGTGGGGGCTGCATATAGGTTCCCAGATGCTGGCTGGACGGGGCAATCAGCTCCAGCCCTCGGGGTAGCACTGTCTGCAGCTGCAGGTAACTGCATACCCACTGTCCAGGCACAAATACATCCCTTTCCCCACCCCATTTTAATTCTTTAAAACAGACTATCAGGAAAGAGAATGTGGAGAAGTGGTAGAAACATGCCTCAGAACAGGGCTTCCCCAACGTGCCAGAGATGACCCCACCTGCCTGCCTCTCTCCAACTTTAGGAGGCCTGCATAGACCCCACAGGGATGAATTCTCCTCCCAACAAGCCTGTCTCTTCTGACTGCCCTCCTCTCTAGGAGAGGCCACCATTCATGCTCTTGGATATTCTGCTACACTGACTTCTTCAACTCTCTTTCTGCCTATGCTCAAGTTTCTCTCAGCTTGAAAAAACTTCTCCCTCAAACTTAGCCTGCCTTCTGGCCATTGTCCCTCTCCTCCGTGTCAGTTTTTTGTTTTTTCTAAAGCCTAGGTCATTAGTTTCCTGATTTTAGATTTCATAGACCAGTAGAAATTTTAAATACATTCTGGGATCAACTTAAAAAAAAAAATCCCAACTACCTCCTAATATCACTATTATTTCACAGTAAAAAGAAGTGTTTAGTAGAAAGAGAGGAGGAAGTGAATCATTTCAGAAAAGGGCAGTCCTTCCAAAGAAAGGAAAACTGACAATTTTATATGACATATTAAAAAAAAAATTCCAATTAAATAAGACAGAATAAATGCACATATAAAATTCTTCTTCCTCATGAAACAAAAATTATAGTGAAGGAGAAAAAAAAAAGATATGAATCAGAGATGGCAATATATTGGGTTGGCCAAAAAGTTGATTCGGGTTTTTAAATAGCATCTTAGGGAAAACACAAACTTTTGGGCCAACCCAGTATTTCTGGGAGATGCAAAGCACACATAAAGTGGTTCTGACATTAAAGAAGGGGAAGCTGCACGTCCTGTGTCCTGGAGTTCTCAGGGCATGGAGGCTCAGCTACTGCAGAATGAGAGGAAGAAGTGAAAGGTAGGAGTTAGCTGACAGTTTGTATTCAAGTGACTGGACCAGTAGGTCCTACCAATCCCAACACTCAGGCCTTTGTTGACCAGAAACCTGAAGTTCAACCACTGTATTGAGAAACTGACCTGGAGAAGCCCCAGAGAAGATCTATGATAGTATCTGGTGGGTGGGGAGGTGAGGGGTCGGGGGTGTGGAGACAATGAAAGATCTGGCCTGCAGTCCTAAGACTCACCGCCCCGAGGCCTACAGGTCACCCAGCTCTGCCCTGCACACCCCAACAAGCTGTGTTTCAGTGTCTCACTCTTAAGGAACACAGAGGTAACAGACAACGTGGGGAGCAGAAACAAAAACAAATGGCCCTAAACTCTAATACCTTCAGAGACAGAAAAGATTTGTATCATACAAACGGATACTTTTATTAAAAAGGAATGAGAGAAAATTTGTTAAAGAAATCAAATAGATGAAATACATTCCACATAAAGATGAGACGGTAAAGTCAAGGAAGTCCTCAAGAAAGCAGAAAAGATTAAAAGATGGAAAGTAGGAGACCTTAAGAGATCCAATCTCTGATAAAAGAGCTTCCTAGAGACTGGAAAAAAACAGAAGGTAGGAAATTATCAGACACATTGCAAGTAAATCTCTAGAACTGAAAAACATGATTTTCAGATTGAAAAGGCCCATTAGATACCCAGCAGAACAGAAAAAAAAAGATCCAGATGCTAAGACACAGCTTCGTAAAATTTCAGAACACTAAGGATAAAGCAGAGATCCCAAAGGATTTGAGAAGGGTTTAAAAAAAAAAGTCACATACAAAGAACTGGAAATCATTATTGGATTTCTCAAAAGCAAGCCTGGAGGCTAGACGATGATGGAGCAGTGGCTTCAAACCTCTGAGAGAAAATGCTTTCAGCCTAGAATTCTCTCTCCAGCCCATGAAATGACACCCACGCCAATTAAGTGTGGGGACAGAATAAACACCTCCTCAGACTTGTAAGGGCTGTAAAAGCCGGCTACCCGTGCACACTTTCTTTGGAAGCTCTGAAGGATGTTCCCCAAAGAAATGAGATAGGAAAACTTAAGAAATAAGTGGCTGTGGGGTCCAGGAGACAGAGAACCCACTGTAGGGAGCTTGGGGACAGGAGGAGGGCCCAGGATGGGGGCTGTGCAGTATATCTGGGAGGAGAGGGGATGTGGCATGAGCTCATGGGATAGAGTACCTCGAGGGGTCTTCCAGAATTGGGTAGAACCGGTGATTACTCCTTAAAAAGTAGAAGAAAAAAAAAGCAAGGATTAACCATACCCACTCGTCGTGGCAGTGAACAAGTTTTACCTTTATAAAAATTTTATGTTTATAACAATATAAACATAGAAACTGAGTTATTGAAAATTGTGATGATGTCTCAACTCAAGAAATAATATGACTATTATTCAGAATAATACACATATATACCAGAAAAAAGAACATGGAGTGTTGCCTCTGGGGTACATATATATATATATATATATATATATATATTTTAAAGGCCTTTTAGTTCTTTTTGTCATTTAAAACTATGTATCACTTTTGTGAAAATAAAAATTAATTGTAAAAAGGGATGTTTTACCGAGTATTTCCTAATGCAAAAACAAACAAGCAAACATAAAATAACACGTCAATTTTACAATGTTAAACTGTATCTAACTGTTTCCCAGGGCTAACTGTTGACGGTTTGGAAATGAGTATTTGTTGATGCTTCCCTGGTGGCTCAGGCGGTAAAGAATCTTCCTTCAATGCGGGAGACCTGGGTTTGATCCTTGGATTGGGAAGATCCCCTGGAGAAGGGAATGGCTACCCACTCCAGTATTCTTGCCTGGAGAATCCCATGGACAGAGGAGCCTGGAGGGCTACAGTCCATGGGGTCACAGAGAGTTGGACATGACTGAGTGACAAACACAACACAATACCATGACATTTAAAGATGCAACCTGAAATGAGGCGAATATGTTCTGCTTTGTCGACGTTTTGGGATTCCAGGCTTACCCTGCTATGTGTTAATGAGAATGGAAGGCATGGCCCACAGTCCTCACACTTGAGATGCTGGGGCCTGAAAGGGGAATGAGGGGGCCAGCCCATACATCGGCCTCAGAAGACTGTAGGGTTCAATGTTTCTCATCTAGACCTTTGCAAACGGCTTTCACATGTCTCTAGTCAATTCCTCTTTCCATTCACTCCTTTCTGCCACCCAAGTTATCTTTCTATAACACGTCATTCCCCAAGCTCAAACTTTTCAAATTCCCTGATGCTAGTTAAAAGGTTCCCAAAGCCTACAGTAAAATTCAAATGTTGGGCCTGGCATTCAGGACTATTGTGATTTGCCCAGCCTTACTTCCCTCACTCTCTGTGTTCTGGGCATCACCCTGGACTATTATTAATTCTCTAACACATTGGTAACCTTCCTTTTTTTCTCAAGCTGTTTGCTACCCGGAATTCCCTTACTGCCCACGCCTTCCCCTTTAAAACCCTCCTCTTGGAAAAATAAATAAATAAATAAAACCCTCCTCTTGGAAGCCTATCCCAGCTCTAGTCAATATTGACAGCAGCCTCCTCGGGATTCTCAGTAAGCACTGGACAGGGTATAATCTGGCTAGGTCCAGTTAATGCATGTAGATAGGCCTTCCCTATCTACCTAGATTGAGCCCTAGATTGAGGGCTCCTTCAAGGTCAGGCCTGGCTCTGGTTCATGTTTAGTATGAGGTACAAGGTATGCCAAATACTGGCATCAGCACAGCCTCAAGGGCAGCAGGTCAAGGGATTTTATTGCACGCCCTAACCAACGTGTGGCTGGGCTCTAGTCCCTGGTATCTAGACTTCAGGCATGGGCCTGAGTATACGTGAATATGTGAAGACCAAGACCCCCTTCCATCATCCTAGTGGATCTTCATCATCACTTTCATTCTCTCTTCTGGTCAAAACAGACAAAGTTAATGAAGTAATGTTTTTTGCCAAACGCCCTGTGGCAAAACCAGGACACCTCCAAAGAACCCACATGCGAGCAAACAGCAGCCAAAACCAGAAGCAAAGATCAGTCTTCTTCCACTGTTCTTGCTTCTGAGACTGATTCAGTTCCAAAAGCTCTAAGCTGGGAGAACAAGTTACAAACTTTACAAACACACTGAATACTATGAGTGGGACCTTCTTCCTGACTACAAGCAACTGTCCTGGGTCAGTGCTGGGGTGGAGAGAAACTGGATGAATTGTTAGAATTAAATCTCTTTCTTACTGGTTTATGATGTGTTTGGGTTACCTATAATGTGGGTCCATGTCCCACACTGTTGTTGAAACACTTTTTAATATCATGGAAGATTTACCCTAAAATAAAATGGAAAAAGGTTCAAATGCAGAAATTCAAACTGGCCGACACTGCCATAACCAGAATAATCTTTTGAACACAAACTGATTTTGTTCCTCTCTTTTACAATTCTTCACTGGTTTCCAATGGCCCGTGGAATATAAAGTCCAAATCCCTTTGCGGGTATTTCAGCCCTTCACATTAGCCACTGTTGCTCAGTTAGTTCAGCCTCGTGATATGTGAATCCCCACCCACTGTACATTCCAGGCAGGTGAACTACTTGATTGAGGCTCTTTCCACACCTGCCTCCATGGGGTGCACACATATTGACTTCTGCCTGGAATGACTGTCCTTGGCTTGTTCCTTGAATGGGCTTCTAGGCTTCCTTCAGCTGTCAGATGCAGTCTCTTCTCCTCCTGACTGAGCTCCTCTTCTCCCAAGGGCCCACAGCACTTTGCACTGGTCTCCATGGAGGAGGCGATGGTCATATACTTTATCACTGGTTACTTGTCTTATCTCCAAGGAAACTGTAAATTCCTTAAGGGAGAGATGGAATCTCCATATTTGAGTCCCTAGCAATGAGCAGGTGTTTTCTATACAGTTTTCTACACAGTTGAATGAAACCTGCCTTCTGAGATTGAACAGGTGTCTACCTTCCCCCCGACCCCAGGACAGAATGATTGACATGGGTGAGCCTTCAGGTGATTAGGAAGTTTCAGAACGGGAGCTCTCAGTCCAGAAAAAGCAATACAGAAATGACTACATTCAAAGCTCATCCAAATAAAACCATTTTAAAAGATTTAATTTTCGGTACTTCACAGTTTGGGAAGGAGTAAATTTGGCCTTTACAACTGGATGATAAGATGACTCCCACACAAAGCTGTCTCGAGAGTGAATGACTAGTGACAGCGACTTCATATCTAAAAAGCTTCTTGGAGAAATCCCATATACAGGGTATTTCGTAACCTTGAATGCCTTGAAATCCAAGCCTGTTATTCTCTACGCACAGTTTCAGTCTACCTCTACCTTAAACAAGTGAGTTACCATCCCATTGTGAGGATTTTAGAATCTCTGACACACACAGTCATTTTGACATGAGATTAGATTAAATCGTCTCAGTGTCTCTGACCTAGCAGCCTTTATGTCCATGGCAAGGGAAAGGGGGAGGGGGCTAGAGGCTTGGAAACCCAGCGCGCACTAAATCGGCTGGCTGCCCTTGGAAGAGAGATGATTAAATGCTGAGGTACAGTAATCAGGCCAGGATTGTCCCTGCATCTGCTCAGCCTGCCCCTGATTAGCCCTAATCTAGAAGGCGTATGTTAATCTCAGCTTGTATTCTGGGTCATTTCGATTGATTAAGCAACAGGAAGCCTTTCCCATTCTACATTAGGAACTTGAAGTTCTCCTTTTTGTTTTTTTCACAGAGAACCTGCACAACCCTCATAAGAAAGCTCTCCTGGCATTTGTACAATGCTTTTCAAAGTCTTCTCACTCCCACTGCACAGCACTAACTTCCTGCTGAGACTCTGGAGCAGCAGGCAGGGCAGGTATTCTTTCCTTTCACAAATGATAGGCAAGTTCTGTTGGCAGAACCATGGACTTACTATAAAAGCACACTTATAAAAACCTGGAGCTTTTAGTACCCCAATCTCTAGTACCTCATCTTTCAAAGTTGTAAGAAACCACAGAGTTCTTCAGTTTAGAAAATCGAATCCCCCCTTTTCTTTAAATTCCAAAGCATAGAGATAAAAAGTTTCTTTAAACAAAACAAAACACGGACTGAGGGAGACGGAGTGACTGAGCCTGTGGTGAGGCAAGGCAGCTGGGAGTCTCTGCAGGCCCCGGCAAGCCTCTGCCATTGACCACCACAGCCAGCAGGGGCCTGGAAGGGAGAGGACAGTCTCTTCTGGGCTCGCTGCTGCCTCTCCTCTCGGGTTTCTTGGTAAGGTTTTCAGAATTGGCAAAAACGGAAAGAGAGGCCAAAAGAGACTTGGGAACTTCAGGTCCCAGTGCAAGGATTTCCATGGCCAACAGCAGTCAGCTCCCAAATCCTGGAGGAACTGCTGACCCCAGAACAGAAAGAGGAGACCTGAGCCTGCTCTGTTTTTCTACCAGTTGGGTATCATTCTTGAGCCCAAATGGTCAAACACACTCCCCCCATCTTAACAAATGGCAATTACATTCTTTTAGTTGCTCAGGCCCAAAACTTTCAAGTCAGGCCATCTCTGACTTTTCATGTAATTCATCAGCAAATTCTTTCCTTTCAAACATAAAGCCATAACACAGCCCATCGACAGCTGCTCCCCTGGGTGAACTATCCTCTCTCGCCTGGACTACATGTTAGCTTTCCTCCAGATCATCCTGCATCAGCCCTGGCTGCAATGCACTCTCTGCTCCCCACACAGAAGCCAGAGGGATCTTCTAAAACTTTCACACGATCGACATGGGGACACACATTCTGAAAATTCAGATATTTGCTCTTCCCTGTTTTCTGCAAAACGGGTTCTGCAGTGGTCTGTCTCTGAACGTGTCACCAGGGGAGGCTTTGTGGTAGACTGTGGGCGCCAGCGAGAGTAACTTTGAAAGTTACGGTCACTGCCCTGCACGCTCTGGATTCATCATTCATGAGCTGATCTACTCTATTCCTGACCTCTTCTGAGGTAATGAGTTCCATCACTTATCTACCATATGATGAATCTCTTTCTCTCACACACACATATGCATATATCTGGAATTTATTTACTGACAGGAATTCATTTATTTATCCCAAGACTAACTCTCTTAGCGTTTTGAGATATGATGAATAAGTCTATACATCACAGTTAGCTAAATCTTGAGATACTGTTTGACAACAGCTAATCCAACTCCCCCCGCCTTTTTAGTGGCTCCCTACTGCTGCTAAGTCACTTCAGTCATGTCCGACTCTGTGC